ACTTTAGCTAAACCTTCATCGTTTTGCAATAAAACTTAGAAATCGTAATGAAGTCATGAACAAATGAGATTTTCGATAGACCTTTAACACTATGTTTACAGAACGTGTCAATTTAAGGCATATTGAATTTTATAAACTATTATGTGGTAAATATTTACGTCGATTTTGCTTGACGCTTTAAACCTCTATTTAACCCATTCTCTGCCAAGCACCAGATACCTCGCAGTTTGCGCTATAAGTTTGAATTAACTGCTACTTTTCACGTATAACAATTTCAGGGTACAAATTAATGAACAATAATAAATAATAATTAATTATTTACAATAAATAAAGGAATAATTTTGTTTTCTCTGAAGTCAATTTTTGGTACCCTGGGTTATAAATTCTTAATTTTTCCAGTAGTGAATAGGTTAAAATAGATAAATATTTCTTATTGGAAACAGAAAGGAAGACAAAAATTGAGAAACTTATTAATCGAATATAGTAATTGATTTAATATTAAATGAATCAAACCTCTATCTAAATGTCTATTTTTAAACCTTCAATTTCCAAAATCAAAATGAACGAACATCAATTTTTCTGAAAACAATAGAAGAAACAGTTCCATGAATGTCCGTAAATCTAGTGTTAATGGTCCATATTGCCGGTGGAGTGTTACAATCTACGCGTTTGGGTTCGTTGCTGTCCATTGTTGGCGAGGACAGGGGAAGCGTACATGAACAAAAAGATCGTATCTTGTCATCGTTGCACATAGAATACCAACGCCATGTTTTTCCCGCGACTCTGCTTCGGCTTTAAAGGTGTTCGCCAAATCAGGCGTGTACGATCGCGCAAACGTGGACTCAAGTGTAATTCGCCTCTCACATTCATAGACCTGATCACTAAGCTAAAAATGCACAGCCGCTGTACCGAAACTGAGGCGTCACTGTTGCCATAACTACTGTCAGTTGTTTAACACGTCAAATTCCATGTCAGTCACCGATGTCCGATGCTTCCGAATTTGTTGAATAAGCTTACAATATGCAAGATGACTGCTGTCGACTAAAAATATTTAATAACATAAATAACTTAACAACAGTGTAATGTAAGAATTCTAATGCCAAATAATTAATAATTGTTAATTGTTTCGACCAATCGCAAAAAAACTAAAGCCGAGAACACACTAGATTTTGTCGACTTAGACTTACATTCCTTCCAAGGCTCTTCTTTCAAATAATGGGATATACTATATGTCTCTCACGTTAGCTCCGTCTACCGCCAAACTAAAAGTGCACAGAGACCAAGGGACTGCTCCACTCATGATGTTCGGGACGCCTTGTTTTTTGACGGAACTATAGAGAATTTTGTTTACTATCATTACGTCTCACTTCATCGCATTCAGTTTCGCTTCCGTCCTTTGTTATTGTCGTGCGCCAATAATAAGCAGGCATCGAATGCCGTAACGCCCCGAGCATTCTGAGTGGAAGAATTCTCTTGCTCTTGTGCACTTTTAGTTTGGTGGTCGATGAAGCTAATGTGAGAGGCGTATAGCACCTGACTGAGCACCGCGAGTGAACGTCTCCCCTTACCCCTGTGCACTTTTAGCTTTTAGATTGGGGTTATGAGCGTGAGAGGCGAATTGCACGATCTCTAACCACTAGGGATGTTCCGTTACCATAAAGGTATCGGTACTTTTAATCGTTACTTGCTTCGAAGGAAGCTAAGTAGATAGTTGCTTAAAACGAATCAAAAGGTTTGGGACCTATAACTGAATAGTATCTGCAGGCTAACAAGAAGATAATAATATATGAAGAAGAAAACTCTAATAACACAAGGCGCATAAAGAGTATGGGAAATACAAACTATATTTAATAGAGTAATTGCGGGGGAGATGGCCAATTCAGTTATCTCGTATAAATAATTGATACAAATAATATTTAATAAATAATATAATAGTAATATTACAAACCACGCTTTTTTTATTTGTAATTTTAATTCTTGTTAATTGTTTTGTAAGAAAGTAATTGAAGTTTGTTTACAAATCAAATCTAGTGCTCCAAGTCTTTCAGTTATCATTTAATTGCGTTTCAAAGAAAATATGATTATCCCCCAGAAATTACCCCATACATATTCATATAGATACTTTGTTTATTAAATACATTTCGTCGATATCGAATAGGTGTCGCGATACAAAGTATCGATGCCAAAAGTACTTAGTATCGAATCGAAAGTACCGATACCTTACTTGTACTTATTTGGATCGGAATAGCCGTACTAACCACTGATCGCCGCCAAATTGGAACTTGCAGTCGAAAACGTACCGGAAGCGCAGGATATCGATTCGCGAGAATATCAGTTGTGAAACAAAGCGTCACGCATCAAATTTTCCGATCGTGTAAAAATTTCGTTATCACGGAGGTAGTTGACAATTCTTTTGCCTCGTTCGTCGCGTTTCCTGAATGCCCTGTGCGCCAAGGAACATCCTTACTGACTTTAAGGCCGAAAAAGCGCCGCGACTTAATTTGTTAAACATAATTTATTTCCGTAACGCATGTTCTATTTTATAATCAGATGCAAATGATTTATATGTTTGAGATTTATTTAATGCTTGAATATAATGAATATAGTGAAATGATTGCATAAAATAGGACATGACGGATATTTGGTAAACTGTTTTTGACAAGATAACATCCGAGTTTTAAGAGTTAAATAATTGTTCGCTACTTCAACATTTAATAAACATTACAAAACATTCGCAATTCGTAATGAAACGAAAATTTTGTTAATTACAAGAAGGAAATGTAACATTTGGCGCAATCTTTCCCTACGTGAACATATTTATTTAGGATTCAGAAGATATGATGTTACTTGAGCAGTTCTATATTATCTTTTTATTGTACATACAATATTTTTTATAATCAATATTATTGGTACAGTTCGTTCATACAAGTCATTCCATTTTTATCTATATGAATTAGAGTAGATACTACGCACAATGAAAATGCCTTCTAAAAAACATTATATTTTTACAAATTATCTATAACTTTTAATTATCTAAAATTTTTTAACATGAAAATTAAAAAATACATATAGTATTGATAAAAGTAGTATGTTTAAATTGCTACCCTTTCTGTAACAATGTTTTATAGCCATATATTAAATATTCTTGATTATCATTTTTTATTAGTATTTTTAGGCTGACTGTTTTGCTACCACGGCTTGTGTAACGGCATGCTTCATTGACTTCGTCTATAATTATGTTTTTGTAAATTACTTTGAAAACAAAAGTATAAATATAATACAGAACACAAACAAAACAGTTCTTTTTTTAATGTTTATATCGCTGTAAATAACGTTGTAAAGGAATAACGTTGTAAACTAATTAGTCACTTGAAAGAAGATTTTAATTATACTTTATATCATGATATTAATTCTAGTTTCCTTCGTTTTGTATTCTAAATATCGACATGATTCTTATATGGTAATAATAATGCGTATGAAACATTATCATTTTGTTTTGTATTTTACATATAGGTAATTTTTATAAAAGGTTTTTGAATATAAATTAAAATAACAATTATTTCATTCGTATTTACATTATTTTGTACATTTACCTTTGCAAAATACATCTATTACAGTTATTCAAACTCTGAAAACATTTCTGATTCTTCTCACATAGTTAAGATGACGGAAAAGGAGATGACTGAAACTGTTTGAATTCAAAAGAAGTTGCTCAGTTTGGTTACCTGATGATATTTACCTAATTTAATTTCTTTAACTATTTGGTCTTTTCCAAATTGAAAGTAAATATTGAAGAACAACAGTGCTACGCAACTTTGAGTAACTGGTAAATTTGAATAGTATTAGTAATATTATTACAAATAAATAATTAAGAATATTCCTATGACATCAGAGATGTAGAATATTCCTATATTATCATCGGAGGCGTATTTATTACTAATATTAAATTAATTTTATGAAATGTGCCACGAAACTTTTCTTTCAACAATATACTTAAAAAATTCTGATTATTTACAAAATGTACAGAATTTTACAAAGATTTCCAATAACAATATAGGTCAATTTTGTTCAGTGCTACTTTTTGGTTCTTCAGGTCAATGCACAACATGAATATAATTACCTATTCTTCCATTGTCTTATACAATATATCTTCAAAACAATACCCAATACAGTTAATACAGTACTTAATTAATAGTAAATACAGATATAAAAAAATAGTTTAATCAAGAACACAAAATATTTCTACTATATTTAAAAATACTTTCATAGAATTTTATAATCTACAAAAAAGATTAAAAATCTGTTACAATAACTTTTGCTCTCCAACATCTCTAGAATATTAAGAAAGCTCTCATTAAACAATAATCCAATTGAATGATACTTCCACCCTGAAGTACCAGAAAGATACAGAGAACGGTTGCCTAACGTTCATCATCACCACGCGTATAACCAGAATATCTAAAAAGGACAAAATTTTAAACAAGCAAAACGTGTACAGCCACTGATACCAAGCGTAAAGAAGATTCACCTAATCCATCAAACGCGGGATGTTCATCACTGGTGCTCGCTATCACGCTTCCGTAGCCCGTAGCTTTCGACCGGAAATGCACCTTCCGCTTAGAATCATTCCTCACAAAAGAAAGGTCCTCAACACACATAGTTTGCTCGCTCTTGTTCATCTCAACTTATCAACGAGTAACCCTTCACAAATTGCTTTTGCATGAGAAAATGAGTCTGCCTTTTTACTTTTCACGTAGGAGTTGCGAGTGGAATCCAGACGTTTCACCTTTCGTAAACTTCATTTATAGAAACGATCCCTTTGTATCATATTAATTGAATTCCGATCAAATAGAATTTCTAATGTTTACCGTTTTAATTTCAAAGATAACGAATTGGTTACGTCTGTATTCGATCATGAACTCTCTGTAATCTCGTCGGTATCGATGGCAGCATTTTGCGTTTGAAATGGCAATCCTGATGTTCCCTTTCCTTTATTGTAGGAGCAAATCGCGAAAGAGAAGCAGGTGTCCGGCCGGGTGCAAATTCAAGTTGTGTACGAGGCGGACCGCAAGGAGCTGATCGTTACCGTTTTTATGGCGGACGATTTATGTCTGAGGGAAGACACGGGTTATGGGACATTACCAGAAGCGTATGCTAAACTGGTCCTTGTGCCGGTGTGGTAAGATACCCGTTTAAAATTCATAGCGATTCTTCCTTGATGACACAATAAACTCTGTGTTTAATAAAAAAAAAAGGTAGAATTCGCGTCTCTATTTGGTAAAGTATCCTCCGTCTAACAAGAATACTTTGCTTGCAGCTTTACGGCTCA